AGTGACAATCCTGAAAGTGATGCCTGGAAGAGAAGCCTGTGAATTCTTCATTGGTGCTCGTCGCCGGAGGATGGGTTCAGCAAAAGGGCTGCGATGGGTTGGTCATCTAACATTTCGTGGGGCAGGGATAGCACAGATTGGCCTTGGCCCTCGTAGGAAGCAGAAGGGGTAAATTTGGCAATTCCTCACCTTGCCGTGGTGCAGGAGTTGACTCTTAATGAAATAAATAAATCGGGCAACCACCTCCTCTGCAGGCTGCTTACGCGCTCAGATCCCTGCTATAGGCTTTCGTGCTTGGTTTCCAATTCCAGCTGAGAGAAGATTAGCTTGGGGTGGGGAGGAGAGGGCTATTTCTGTCATTCTTCATGCCGCTGACTTGACTTTACACTGCAAATGCAGATGCTTCACCTAATCGGCTGGGCCCAATCCTGCAGGTGCCTCCCCACAAGCAATCCAGTGAATGAGAATGATCTTGACTTCAGAAGTGGCTGCTCACATACCTGGGTCTTGAATTTTACCTTTGCTTGAAAGATGCACAACTTAAAAGGATTCTCTAGTTGCTGAACTATTTCATTTCAAGGTGTCCCACTCAAGGGTTGCTCTTCCATGGTTTATGTTTAATTTTTTTAAGTGGAATAAAACCGAAGTCAATTGATGACACTTAAGTGAAGGACTCTTGTAAGTGTTTGTGTTCTGCTTCAGTGTCATGCTGGCTTTAAGTAGTGCCTTGGGGAGATGTGACTGAGGATTTGCAGGTCTTAGCTCCACCTTCATTGTCTGGTAGAAAGACGAGGAGGCTCTCCAGCATCACTAACGTGGCTGTTTTAATGGATCCAGGCCCAACCTCAGCAATATTATGGCAAGTTGAATGCTTTGTGGGAAGGTCGAGGGGGGCAGCTCTGTGTGCTGGAACAGGAAAATAAGCGCATTCGGTTTTCTCCTTTGCGGAATGGAAGTGCCAACCTCTAAATGTGAAATGGGAAGAGATGTGTGTATAGGAGACGAAGGACCCCTCCAGGCAGGGTTGGAGGTACGGGGTAGGCAGCTTGTTGCAACCACTGACTCAGTAAACTCTCACGTCACAGAATCGCCGTCTCCTCTTGTATTGCAAGGGAGTAACCAGTGCCCTGAAAGTCCTTTTGAGCTTAGTGAGACGAATCTTGTACTAAGGTGAGTCAAAATGTACAGGAAATGCAAACTTTTTTATAAAAAACGATTGTGTTTGTTTGCCAACACTTGCATGCCCTTTGTAGGGACTGATCTTTGACGTGGTTGGAGCGGGTCTTTCTCTGCCGCAGCGCTGAGAGGACGGCGATGGCACAAGCACAATACAATAGCGAGCGTCTCGCCTTCCTTTTGGCCCCTGAAATAGAGTCGCCTGTTGTCCCCGCGGGGCCGGGGGCCGCGTGCGTCTGGCAGGATGCTCTCGGCAAGGCGGCAGGCAGATCTGCTGAGCTCATGGAAACTCAGCTCGGTTGAACACGAGGAACAGCACTTTTTTTTTTTTTCTCTTCTTCTTTAAATAAAACAGAAACCAAAATGCGATGCCTTGTAAACCACAGACACCCACACAGCCAGCTTCTGTGTCGCTTTGCAGGTAAACAAATGCTGGGGCCTGAAACTGTGCTATAGTTAGACTGACCAGTTTGTGCAAGGAGAAGTCAATGTGCCGTTTTTTTGGTACAGGGAAGAAACTAGGTCATCGGAAAACAGGCAGCCGGAGTGATGGAGCCAAAGTCTTTCTGGGGTCCATGGAGGGTGCTAGGAGACATGTACCTAGGTCTGGGAGAAGTTGAGCTGTGTCCCCTTCAAGAAGACCTCTCAGGGTGACCACTCTGCTGCTTTAGAGGTTCATTTGCTGGTTGGTTTGAGGAGATGCTGGTGTCTGGTACTTCCAGAAGATGTCTCTTGGTGTTCGTGGATCTCCCCTCTCCATTTCATTCCCCTCTGTAGGCCACTCGAATCTCCCTTTTGTTCTGTTGTGAGAGCAGAGGAGCTGCTGGAGGACGAGGTGCATGCAGGAAAGCGGAAACACGGGCAAGCAGAGCAAACCATGCTTCTCCTCTCCGTATAAATCAATGTCTTCTTGCTCTTTCCAAGGTGCAGTCCTAATGCTACCAAGAAAGCTTCCAGCTTTTTTTGGGTAAACAGGGAAACACTGAAATAAAGTTTCTTTGCTTTAATAAACCTGCAGGATTAGGTCCTCGTTTCTACTTCAGGTGTGTTTTGGAAAATATTTGTTCATCTTTTAGCAAACAATGGCAGAAGTGGTCTGGAAAAGGAGCAGGGTGGGAGTGCCGCGTGTGGTATGCCGAGAGGCATTTCCTGCCCTTATCTCCCCTCCTTCGAGGTATTGTAAACGGGACTTCAGATCTGCAGCCTGTGTTACTGGAGCGGAGATCGCCAAAAAAGATACCTTCC